ATGCTTGTGGAGCTTTCCATGGTGAACAGTCCCATTTGCCCCTTTATGAGGAAGTGTTACCTCCGTACCTGAAGGTGGAATTTAGGGTTTGGTGACTTCTTTTGCATTTCACTAAGTCAATTCTGCAATTATATTCTTGTTCATTAGAAAGCAAGGTATTTGTCAGGATTTCTAATGCCTTAAAAATAGGACAGAATAAAAAAAAAATAGTAATCAAGATATCATGAAAATCATCATAAAAGCCTTCCTGTAAAAGATTAAATTCATAAGTATTTATTGCTAGCTGTTTATGTTATTCAAAGCCATTAAAAATTTTGAGAATTGGTAAGATGAAAATGTGCCATTAAAACATCCATTTTCTGTTGTATCTGGTGTTGGAGTACTTCTGTTAGAACAGCATGAGGATGACAGCTAACAGCTCCAAACTAGGCCCAGCAGCCATCATCAGTTATTACAGCATCACCCTGGCTATTCAGTTTTCATACAGACAAGCTTTTTAAAAGGCTGTCAGGTGTTGCTGCCAATATTTAATATTTCTTCAAAAGCACCTTGGCTACCTCACTATTCTTTTATTAATGGTCTATTTTCTCTCCTGCAGGCTGAAGATGCTTCATCTGTATGGTTTCCGCTTCAGTCATGGTCTGGAGTCTATTAAAGAAATCAATAAAACCATGAAAGTCACAACCTCACTGTCCCTACTGCTAACATTTTAGCTGAAAGAAAAATTCTGAGTATCCTGAGAGACATTTTTGGCTTTTAAATGTATCTCTGCTTTGACAAAGAACTTTTATGTCACTTTATGTCTCATTTTTTTATAAAGTTGAAGCATAAAATTGTGTTCTTTTGCAATATTAGTCAAGTTTCTTAACTTCTTTGCCTTGGACTAAGTTTTTAAGGATATAGATTATGCCTTTTCCCCTTTGGCAGTTATAACGATACAATATATCTGAGAAGTACAGTCTACACGATTCCTGTTACTGAAGTCATTACCCTCAGATTTTAATTGAAGAAAATAAGGGTGAGTCACATTCAGTAGTACTAAAAATTATACACTGGGGAATAAGAGTATGTATCAATCATCTATAATCTGCCCAGACTTGGCATTTAACTATGTACACCTATCCTACACGCTTCACAAGAGATGCATGCCTGGATGTGACTGGGTGAACAGTTGAAAATGCCATCAAAGTCATAGTAAGTGCAAATGAAGGCTCAGTAGAAGAAAGGGAGAGGAGGGAAACAGCTGGAGGAGGGCGAGGCAGGGAAGAACTGCCCCCACAGCCTACCTGCTGGAGACCTCCCAGGGGCACTGCGCTCGTCACCCTCTCCCCATGCCCTGCACCTTCCTGCACACGCTGTGCTTCCCCTCCGGAGGGGAGGGAGAGGGCGAGGTTCATGAACAGGCACGGGTACAAAAGGAAGGGACGGAGCGCCACAGATGTGTGGTGGCTTGCAGAGGTGGTGACGTGTGTGTCAGTGAGTGGAGAAACTGGAGTAGGTTTAAGTAATCAGTTTTCACGGAGCTGTGGCTGATATGACACCTGTGTGTAACACTAACTGTTTTCAGTGAGATATTTCTAAATTACTATTTGATTCTGTTTTACTTATGCTCCACCTTCCAAGTAAACTTCACAGTTTGGCCTCAGTTGCTTAAACTGTCCAAGTGTGAAACATGCAATGATGAATAAGAGAGTTATAGCAACCACAGAAGGATCCATTCATTCTCTTAACCATCTGTAATATTGGGAAGATTAGTTACTATCTGCAAGAAATACTCTGTCTTCAGAGTAGGGTTGGAATAGTGTGCATTAAATTGTAAATAATGCCCAAGGCCACATACGATAATGAGGAGAAGCAAATTACTGAACAATTGTTCCTGTTTATGTTCTACTTCCTAACTTTTAAATGCTTAATATTCTTAGCAAAATTCTTCCTTCATTACATGTGTAAGATTCCTAAAACAATATAGAGAGAGGGATTGGGAAGAGGCCTGCTCTTTCAGGTAGGGGATCTGCCTGGAGCAAAGTATCCAGCTTTTCTGGGCTTCTGCACAGTTCTGCAGAGTTACTTCGGGAGACCACATGGATTCAAGTAGCATTTAAGAGTCCTGTAGCCCATCCCACTGGCCAGATCAGCTCCTTTGCTCTTTTGCTACCTGGTGCAACGCTAGGTCTTGATGTCATGTAGTGCCACACCTCCTGTTTCTTGCTTCCCTGTCTCTTCTAATCTGCCCCATTTAGTGTCTGCATCTGTAACAGCACCGAACCCCACCCTTTCCCACTCAGTGCAACAGGACACTTTAGGAGTGATACAAGGAATCTCTTCTTGTTCATGTGTTACCTCAGGCCTCCCTGAAGTTCCTGAGTATGATTTCACGTCCCTTTCTGCTTCTTCAGCCAAACAGATGCTCTGGCTAGCTTGTATTTTTCATGGCACAGCAAAGTCAGAGACTGAAAATTACGTGTGGGTTATATCTGTATCTGTAGCTTTGGTATCTTAAGTTAGGAGTTTAAGTCTTCTTCTGTATTATATCCACACTGCTAGGCCACAGAAACAGTGCTTTGGTTTTGCATATTTATTTAATTTAGAGCTGAAGGGACAGATCCTTCCAAGAATAGGCACACAGTTTCAGAACAAAGTACTGTTTTGCCATTGCCTGCTGGGCATCTGGCCCTCACTGCTCAGTTTTAGGTCTCATCAAATAAATCACCTTTTATTTATCTCTTTGCTTCTGTGTCAGGACCATTTGGCTGAACTGTGGCCTGCCAGGCAAGCACTGGTTGTGTGGCTTTGTGTAACACTTCAGGCATGGTCTGTTTTGCAACACGTACCTATGCCATGGCAGTGCTAAATGACACACCGTACTTCATGCCAGTGCCTGAGATTTGTGCGACAAAACTTCTGTAACAGTGGAAATAAGGGAAATGCCAAAGACATTGTCACCCACTGAATACACAAAGGATTGCCTGCACATGAAGGCAGAAGTCTGGCCCACGTAGGGATTACATTGGCAAATATTGCAAGACTTTTATATGATGGATTCAAAACTGAACATTAATGTGAAGATTTCAATTTATTTTCAATATTGCTTATTATTTACTTGTTTCACATAGGTAGAAACATAAAACTTTCAAAGAAAACAAAGATGCAGACCTTTGCAGCAGGAGGGTCAAATCCTAAGTCATAGAAAAACAGGGTTACATAGACTAACTTGGGAAAAGATGATGTTAAAACTCTGTCCAAAGTCTATGCCCTCTACTTAGCAGTCCAAGGTAGTCACTACCACAAAATGTACACAGAACAGAGTGAATAAGAGAGTGGGCAGGATAAACACTACTCACAAACGTCAGCTCATAAAGCTGCAGCCACAAAAGCAAACAAGAAGGTGATTTCAGTGGGAACTCCCTGTCTGTCTAGTGAGACACATTCAGCCTTGGATGAGGCTGTTTTGGTTCAGCTCAGGAGCTTGTCCTCACTGAATGCCGAATGTCCTGACTCCTAGGAAGGGAGAGCTAGTGTGTGTCAGCAAGATAAGTTTGTCTCTTTTGATGGCTGAACAACCCTTCATCATCATCATAAGGGCTTCATAATACTCTCTGGGTACAAAAATTTGATGGGCAGATAAGAAACCATGGAACCAAAAGAACACTCCTGTTAAATTAATTCTGCTTTACTAAAACACTAGATTTTGCTAGCCTCAGAATCTGAAGATGATACCGCTTTGCTACTCCTAGTAGTTTTACACTTGTGTAATGGAAATGTAATGACAAAAATGAATAAAATCATAAATTGAAGTCCTTCAGTTATCTGATATTTTAAGGCTAAAATTTATATTCCAAATTACTTATGAGCTGTATTTCTCTAGATTGCAGGAAACATTTCATGAAACGTTTTATTGACTGGAAATGGGTTGTTGACAGGACTTTAGGCTGAGTCTGTCTAAGCCTGACAAAAATAGTAATCCAAAACTGCAAAATAATAATAATTTCATTTGAAGGCATTCCACACCTCTTACACAGAGGAGAACTTTAAATTTCCCATTTGCAGTATGTGATTTATTCTAATGAGAGGTCAGCTGGACTATTTGTGCTTTGCTGGAGCAGGGACTCAGCCCGGGGCTACGTTTCGGTCAATAAGGAAACACTGTTTCGACAGCTGGATTTTTATTCTGTTTAACTCTATCACTACTTAGGTATACGCAATTTACATTTGCAGATAGACATGAACAATAATAAGTGCAGGGAAATTAGATAAATAAAAATCTCTCGATTACACTTCAACTGCTTCGAATTAAATCTGAGTTTTGAGCCCAACTTCAAAAGGTGAGAAGTCTTGACTTCCGTCGAGACAGAAAAGCTAGCCCTTCTATACAGGGCACTGAACTTCTGGCTGTTTCGGTATGTTTGAATTAGAACGTAGCTTTTGTGTTTTCAGTTTAGGCTGGTGTTTTAACAATGTACGTTTCTAAATTACTGGTGGTGGGATAGCAGAGAGCGCATGCCCCGCAATGGGTGACTAGCTCCCGGACTACCTGCGGTCAGCAAGGATTTATCTAGCGAAACTTTGGGTCATTCTGGGCTCTTCGTCTGCCACGAACACCAGGAGCGTTTTTATTCTGCTGGAAAACGGAAACGAGACGGAACACCTCACGGCGACCGCGGGTTTTCGGGGCTCGCCTCTGGTTGCTGCAGGGGGCTCGGGGCGCGTTCGCAGCCCGTGGGCCCGGCCCGGGGACGCGGGGCGCCGGCAGCAGCCACGGCGGCGGCGCAGGGAGGGAGGCGCGCCCGGGGAGCGCCCCGGCCCCTCCCGCCCGCCCCGTCGGGACCGTCCGGCCGCCTCCCGGGACGCCCCCGGCAGCCCCGCCCGGGGGTCGCCTCGGCTCGGCCCGGCCACTCCCGCGGCCCAAGGCCGCCGCCTGCGGCCCGACCCGCCTCCCGGCCGCGCCCGGGCCCGCGGGGCGCCGGGGCGGAGCGGGGCCCGCCCCGCCCCGCCGAGCCGACGGCGGAGCTGTGCCGGCAGGTCGGGCCGCCGCTCTTCGCCTCGCCCCGTCCCCGGCCGATGGATCCCGAGGCGGCGGGGGACGAGCTGTCCCGCCTGCGCGCCCTCTTCCTGGCCTGCGACGCCAGCGGCTCGGGCCGCATCGAGCGGGAGGACTTCGCGGCGCTCTGCGCCGAGCTGCGGGTGCGGCCGGCCGAGGCCGAGGCCATCTTCCAGCGCCTCGACAGCGACCGCGACGGGGCCATCACCTTCCCGGAGTTCGCCCGCGGCTTCCGCGGTGCCACCCGGCGGCGGCCCGACGGCGGCGGCGAGCCGCAGGGCGAGGAGGCGGCGTGGGCAGCCGCGGGGCTGGAGCAGCCCTGGAGGGACTTCGAGGTGCGGCTCGGGGACGAGGCGAGGTACATCCCCAGGTGAGGCCCGGGAGGAGCGGCGGGAGCTGGGCTGCGGGGGTGCCGGGGCCGCGGCTGCCGGCGCGGAGCTGCGCCCCCCCCGGCGCTGGGGCAGCGGCCGTGCCGGACCCCTCGCCCCCCGCAGGGGTACGGAGCCCGCCCCACACCTGCTTCCCGGTTTCGAGGGTTACCAGCTCGGTCTCCCCAGCGCGCAGCCGGTTGCTCGCTTCCTCTCCGCTTGCTCTGCCGCGGGCCCACGTGGGGAAACGAGGCCGGGATGCGAAGCGCCGCCGGCTCCGCGCATGAGGCTTTCCACCCCCCGCTAAACCGCCCCCGGCATCTTCCCTGCACCCCTGGCTTGCTCTTCTCGGCAGAGGCAGCCCGACAGCACCTTTGTGCCCGGGTTAGCGCCGTTGGTACGCACGGCTCTCGGGCTGCAGCGCTCACTCGGGTCTCTGACAGCCTTTGCCCTCTGCGCCCGTGAAATGAACCGAGTGGTCGTTCGGTTTGGGATTAAACCCGGTTGCCACCGGCCTGGCAGTACCGAGCTGGTTCCAGTTTACAGAGGCACGTTTGGGTGATTGGCAGTAATCGGCCTTAAACCTCAGGTGCTCAAAATTAGCATGAAAATGCTGGCCATAAAAAGTACAGAGTGATTCTGCTTCACTTAAAGAATGTAATTTAAGGTGGAAGACGGGCAATCCGAGTTTAAGGATTCGGCAGCTAGTTAAGAGGCAGTTAAACCAAAAAATACGTACGCAAGTATGTCCAGAGAGACTCTGTTGGGTCACAGCAGGTCCTGGCTGTGAGGTACACAGAAGCTAATAAAAAGCACAGTAGTTTCATCTCATGGGTGTGACATGAAAAGTTTCTTCAGAGAAATTTTCAGTTACTTAACCTGCCACTCGTGCACCACTGGAGTTGATTGTTCTTTTCTTTTTGGACTGGAAGGGCAAATAACTTCGGTTAGTCTTATTGGACTGCTCTGTTTCAGACAGATCAGTAACTTCCTACAGGTCTTTCTTACCTAGTTCATGATGCCTTCCTTGCTACATACTTCCTTTCTACCAAAAGAGAACAAATCAAACAAAGAAAAAAGGCTGTTTGAAAATTTACAAAGCAATTAATAACTTAATTTAAAGCCAGACAGAAACTCAATAGGAGATGGAAAAAATCTGACTCACAAACAGTGGTGGGTTGTGAAAGCATCTGTCTTCTTTTGCTAATAAGCCTATCTCAGTATCTTGGTTACTATGTTTGCAGCAGCAGTTTGAATTACAGTCCAGTTGTTTGTCTAAGAGGGTAGTAGGAGGGAAGGGGAATAGCTTTTGTTGGCTTGACTGTGTGGACACGTCCTCTGGTTTTGTTAAATTCATCATGACACAATTAATGCTATTTGTGTTATGACGCTTACACATGAAAATTGCAAACAGAACTAAATTTTGATAAATACATGTGTATCAGGTGGGCAGTAATAGGATTTAGATGCTTCCTATTCACGTTCAGCTTTACAAATAGCTTTGAACATCCTTCGTAGATGGCTGTATTCTTTAGGTGTGTGCCAACGTCATCTGAAGAACAGTGTGCCCTTTGTTTTCTTGTTCTTTCTCTTTTCTGTCCTGAAGTGCTGGAAGCAGATTTGTATTACAGATCATTTATTTTTTTTCCATTTGTGGTCCACATCTTTTTTTTTTTGTTGTTGAAATGTAAGGTTTTTTTTTGTTTTTTTTTTTTTTCATGTGAGTGGTTCCACTAAGATCATTAGGATCACTTATGTAAGTAATGAATATATTGAAATTGTTTGAGGAGTCTGGGCATAGAAGAGATTTTAAGCGACAGCATATAACAGAACCATACAAAGTACAAGGCTGGCACTTCAAAATAGTTATTTATCTTCTTGCTTAAGTGATTTCATGTTTTTTTTTTTTTGTTTTTTTTTTGTTTTTTTTTTTAATTGTTGATCACTTAAGGTTTTTTAGGGAAAGGCAATAATTTGAAAAACAGACCTAGGTTGGAACACACCTGCATCTTCAATACTGTAAAACTGTTGGTGTCCTCACATTGTGGTTCATTACTCTTCATAGATTTGCTGTAACACTGGCATGGAAAACCCTGAGAAAAGTGATTACAAAATAGAAACTCCTCAAATCCAGATGAGTGGAGTTAGTTGTCCATAATTTTTATTTCTATCAAGTCTGGTTTTTATCTTGATCATTTGGGGATTCAGTGCCTCAAAATGCCGTGCCTTCTGGCCCCAGTCTAGCAAAGCACTGGCACGTATGCTTTGATACTATTATGGTTTATAGAGAGAAACAAGGCACAGCAGATGGAAGTCCTGAGATAAAACCAGGGCTGAAGTCAGGAGGAAATGATGCAGTAAACACCCGTGGTCTCTGTCATTCCTGAGCTTGATTGGGTGCCCATGGAAATCAAGAGGGAATTTTTCACTGATACATAAGTGGTTCAGCCTTTGTTTCTGGACTGAGATTTTAGAAGCCATAAATGAGCCTCCATAATGAAGTGTGAAACCCAGTAACAGATCAATATCCTGCCCCAGTCCTCAGTGTAGTAGCAGTCATTAGATGCAGCATTGTTTACTGCCAGGTGCTGCCTCATTTCAGGTACTAAAATAAGTATATACTACAGTAAACACATTTTGAATTTAGTTAATTTTAAAAAAGATAGTTTTATTATGGGATGGAACCTGCCTCTGTGTAGTTTTGAATATTGGCTGCACAGTTCTGTTAGCTTATATTTTAAAACGTCCAAGTCTGTACATACTGGAGCTGCGGTTTTCTTGGTTGCAGTTAAACAGGTAGAGTAACATCAAAGAGTTTCTATTCAGCCTAGCTCCTTCCCTCCCTTCCGTGGTATTACATTCCATCAGGTATAATGAGTCATTAAACACAAAAGATTGCAGTGCCTTTGGTTTATATGTAGTGAATTGCCAACTGGAGTATACCTGCATGAGCCATGGGACATCTGTTTTACTGAGAACTCAGGCCTGTTTGTTAGTTCGTTCCTCTGAGAAGTATTTGCAATGGTACAGGAGTACACAGAAGTAGTTGGGAAACTTACCTATTTGGTGCTTCAGGTGGTGAGTGCTCCAGGGTACTGCCTGCCCTAGAAGGGTTTAGCCCTTGACCATGTTGTAGGGTGTTGCGTTCTTTTTTAATGTGGCCAACCTCAGATGTGTTTGGATTTCAGTTGTAGGATTGAAAGGTTCCCTCCACACTCCTAACAGGCGTAAGCATGTGGGATAGTCTCTTAATGGCAATGATTTTTCTGTTCCTCAGCTTGAACAAAGAATGATCCAACATCCACTGACACGTCAGTAGAAAACTTGTACTTATGAACTTTACAACAGTTACTTGGGTCTGTAAATTACAGGCAAAAAACTTGTAGGAAAACAGATTTTGAAATTTTAACATCAAAGACCTTCAATGAGAAAGAGCAGAGACTTGGGAATGTGTGTGCCATATGCATTCTTGTGATCACTCTGGGATAAACTGATTCCCTTTAAGACCTACCAGACAACTTTTGTATATTTGGCAAATTGGATAATCTGATTGGAGAATGAACAAAATTAATTTGAGCATGAATGGGTGGATGAACCTGGAGAATAAAGTTTGTATCCCTATTTTGACTTAAATTCTTTGCCTTCTGTGAGTCCTCATACTTCATTGCTTTGCTTTTTAGTCTTGGAGTCTGTTTTACTTGTGTGCTTTGTTCTTTGGGCCAAGATGACTGTTCATTGGACTCCAATTTCAGCTCTGCCAGACTGTGAGTTTTTATGCATTGTACAATTCCAAAGTTTCCCAATGTGATTATGATAACAGTTCACCCCTAATTGTGTCATCTGAGATTGTATAGAAAATGTGGCTCTGGGGGACATGGTAAAATGAGAAGAGAGTGCTGTTTTTAACATGAGCTATTTCAGTTGTGAAGGCAGGTGATGCTCATGGGATATACTGCTGTGCCATAGCGAAAGAGAGGGGCTCTGCTGCATAAAAAAAAAAAAGGTTGAAAACCTGTCATGCTCTTGCTGTCATGAGACAGGATAGATTTTTGCCGAAGTCAGTACAGAGCACAGCATCAACTCTTATCAGAAATTTGTGTTTACTTCCAAGAGATGATGAGCCATGATATCAGCACTGGAGACATTTCATTGAAAGTCAAAATGTGCTCCCCAGAGAGGAGATTAAAGGCAAATCATGAGGAAAAAAAAATGCTGCGTCCCCCCTTTGTCACAGTGCTGGAGAGAGGATCTCTGCTGTAAGGATGATGTTTTTGTCTTTTAATATGTCTCATGACAGAGGTTTGACAAATATGCTCTTCTGGAAGTGTGATGGATGCCCTTCTGCGAGCTGGAAGACTTCCTGAGCTGCCTCAGGTTTTACTGCTCTTCTGTTTTTTGCTTTAATCAGAACAGCATCTGTGCCAAATAACTTAAGCACTGCAACATTCCTTTTCCTGGTATTTTCATGTCACGTGATCATTTGTCATAGCCGTATACTTTGGAGCATTCTCCTTTTCCACAGTCTTCATCTTTCTCTCCTTGTCACACAGTCCTTTCCACTCCTGCTCCACTGGCTCCAAATCGCAACTCTGTCTTTAGGAATGGAAGCATTAAAAGTCCCTACATTGGGAATCAGCCCTTGGCCAGGCCCTCTCATTGGGGTGTTGCAGATTTGTTTGTTTTCTTTTAATATAGCCTCTTTCTGAAGGGGAAGATACAGAAAAAGAAAAGGTGGTATTAAAAAACCCCATTGTGCTTCAGGTTGAGAATGCCTTGAATTTTATACCATGTTAACATTTTATGTAATCTGTTTTTCCTCAAGGCATTTAATATAGGAGAAGGTGTTAGGCAGTCAGCTGTGACAAAAGTAGATCCTTTCCAATTTGAAACGTACTTGGTTGATCTTTTCTGTTGACTGATATGATGGCATATCCAATGTGTCTGCTTTTCAGAAAAAGGTATTTCTTTATCCCTGGGTGGCTTGCACAGGCTGTTGGTTTCCAGTGTAAGGACAACCATCAGATGCATAGCGTATGATCTTTCTCTTGCTCCAGCTACCCAGGTCAGACCTTCCTGGCTCAGACCACCTTACACCTCATCCCTGCATGCCCATAACAGAACAGAGCTGCTACAAGTGAAGGGAGTAATTTCACTAGCTCGCCTACACTGGGAAGAGACCATTAGAATAGTATTCTAAAACTTTAGAATGGGAGCATATTACCAGGGTGAAAACAAGTTTAAGTGTAGTGCTGTTTATCTGTGCTTTCACCTGCACCTACAAAAATAGAAACTGTATTTTTCCAGTGCTTGAAAGATGTCTGGGTCAAGAAAACAAAGAGAAAGTGTTTGGGGACCTTAAGTCTACAGGTGAGAACATGGATAAGAAAGAAGTGAAGACAAAGGTCAATAACTGGCAAGGGGTAGTGTTGAGGAAGATACGGATGTACACAGTTTTCTTACCTCTCAATACAACCCTTGCCCAGCTAAGCCTGACAGCCTATGCGCAGCTCTTGCCCAGGTGGGCTTTTACTTTGTTTTGCTGCTTTGTGCTCGTCAGAGTGCCTCTGCACAAGGCCCTGAAATAATTGCCTCTGCAGGGCCCTGAAATTGTGCTAGTCTGCTTGTCAGTTTGCACCTTTAAAGCAGACTGAAAACAGCAACCAAAGAAATACTGGATCTTTACCATGTGAATGAGGGAAGGTGGTATTATAACATCGCTGGCACATCTTTGATTTCCTCCAGTTTTCTAATAGCTTATTGCACTTTGTACATCTTTAGTGGAAAACTATGCTGAACATACCTCTGTTGGAGTCAGGCTAAAGGGCCCATGTAACTTATCATCCTCTCTTTGCCAAATGCATAGGGAACAGGTGTAAGATACTGAGAAACTGTAGAATTACTCTTCTTTGATAAATTCCATGAGCTTCCCTCTGAGCTGCATTCAGAGTGTGGTTCATTAGGCAAATGGTCATTGTACATTCAACAAACCAAAATAATACTATGAATTAGCATAGCTCTGTAAGTTAAATGAAAGTATGACACTTAATATAACCTAAATAGCTGGTATCTCTAATCAAAGCATGGGAGTTTTTTTGGTTTTGCTTTTCTTTCACTCTCCTCTGCTTCTCCTGTATTCTACCATGGTGTTTTAAATCTATCATACTACAAATTGCACTACTATCAGGGCAGTTTTATTTTCTTTCTTTAATTCTCTCAGGAGCTCTGAAATTATGTGAATACACTAACTTTGCTTAAGTTAACTCTTAGGTGAAGTTGTGCAAATATTGACTAGTTATACTTACTAATTAATAATTTTACTGTCAGCTTATGTTGTAAAACCATTGAAATGAGGCAAGGTAAAGCCGGAACAGTACTTGGCCAGAATACTATACTTTTCTGGGTACTAATGTTTTGTGTCTGTGCTTTGTAGAAGTGGCAGAAAAGCATGCGTGGTAGGTAGTGTAACTGTAGTGCCAGATGGTCCAGCGGGACAGTGTCTTTCATGTCATATATCAAAAAATGCTCTTTTCTATGCATTTGTATTTGTGAATGTCTGCAGTTTTGTTAGTGTGGAACTTAAAGGGGTGCAGCTAAATCCATTTAAATGTGATTTCAGGGAAGACCAGTTTTAAAGGGCAAACTTGAGCATTTCTGGTGAATTCTGCAGAAACCAAAGTATGAGCATTCTTGTTGCCTTTTTGTCCAGCAAAAGAATAGACTATTCAGAGTTCAGGAGTCAGCTTGGTGAAATCCATTCGTGAAATCTTCCTTGATGAATAATTTTGAATAGCTAATGAATTTGCAGAAATAATAGCTTGTATTTCAGGGGGAACTGAAGACAAACAAATTGGGTGATGTTCATTGCAGCTAACCTGTCCTGCTACAGTGGTATCACTGACATTTATCAAAGCATATGAAAACAGAGGAGTGATTGAAAATATGGGAAGAGGCAATTCAGAACAATTCCTCTCATAATCATCAAATACTGCATCTTGATGTAGAGTACATACAGCTGCATCCTTCTAAAATCCTGTGTGCCTGTAAAATATTATCACAGTGTGCTTGCTGCTAATTCATCACAGTTACTTAGAGTGAGTAAATCAATAGCAGTCTTCCCAATTCATGAAAGTGTATTACTTCTTGCTGAAGGCATAAGCGATTAAGCAGGGACCAATCAATTTTGTTGTATGACTTTAATTTCTCCTGGGTTTTTTGTTGCTGCAGTAGTTGTCAACTCATGTTTTCAATTAAGACTTCCTGTAAAGTTATCATAGAAGCACTTGGGTAAATGTCAGTGAGAATTTCAGTGGCCAATTTTAATCTAAAAAAGCTTTCCAGGCCCATTCCAGGATCATGCACAGTTTTGGTTGTGTGAGTATTGTTTTGCTTCTTAAGCCTAAGTACTGCTTCATAGAACTGGGTCACTGGGATATTTTGAATCCACGTGGATGGTAGCTGGTCACTGGGCTAAGGAGAAATAATAAATATAAAGAGGTTTTTGTATCACAGAGAGAGAATAAACTCTCACAATAACTACTTTGTGCTTCTGACTACTGCATCTTAAAGCAGACCTAGCTGTATGGCAGAGGTTCAGCAGCATGGAAATACCGATTTCTGTCTTCAGTTCTGGCATGTGTATTTGTATACACTTTGAAAAGAATCTGCAATAGGGAGTGGCTGTGGCATTCTTGTAAAGAGAACAAAAGTCACACATATACGTTAAAATATTCCACTACAAATGTCTTCTGCTCCTGGCACAAAATACAGTAAGCAAAGTCCAGACTGATGGTTTGATTCTCTACACCTATCAGTGTAAGACACTGAACCTTCAATTTTGCTAGTCCATTAATAATCTGTAAGGTAGGAGGCCTCTGGTATTAACATTATGCATGTGCTAGTTTTGAACACAGAATTTATAGTACAGTTTGAGGTACAGTGTAATTTTGTGGATGTAGCTTCATTTGATTTAAAGGCAGCAGCTGGTTAATCCTACACAAGATGGGGTGAGAAAGATAGAGTACCAACAAAACTGTTGTGAAAAAAAATTTATATAGGTCATTAAAGATCCAACCCTAATTCAGTAACCTGTGATTTGGAAGTGGATTGGGAAAATATTTGCTCCAGTAACAAATATTCCATGTTAGCATCAAGTAACAAGTAAATTTCCTACTGTTTGCTTGTTTTCTAGGAAACAAGGTTATTAGTAAGCATCTTACTGGTGAAATTTAAAGGAAAAAAAGAAAATTTCTAGAGCACAGATATCAAGTTTGTATTTTGTATTTCTAAAAATAAATCATACATGTTGACCTATATTGTACTGAATTTATCTGCTTTGGAAGATTGATAAACTGTCATCTTGCTGTGGCGAATGTCATTTCTATTTTACGTGAGACTCATTTAAAGTACTGTGTGTATATTCATACTTCGATGAAGTGACATACTTCAGCAGCTAATTCTGGATATGCACAACGTCTGCTTCTTCCTAAATTTTGAAACTATTCTGGAATAGTTTGTTGGCTGTTTTGGTGTGCAATTTGCAGCTCTGAAGGACAACTGCTGAAGTGCCAGGAATTTATGAAATGCAGCATATGTTACCAGCTCTCAGTCCAACTATCAAAAATAAATGGAATTTCAAATGGAGAGACTATTTTGTAATGTTTGAAGTACAGCCAGGCTCCACCTTCAAGCCTACCCAACGTTAATGGAAGTGTGGTAGGAATTCTGTAAACAGTAACACCTTGAGACATTGAACTTATTGTTTGTCCAGCTGTGTGTACTTGGAAAGCGGTGTCTAAATGACACAAACCTGCTGTACGCTTGAAATTTAAACTTCTGGAAATAATGAATAGAGCTAAAGCATTAGCCTTTGTAAAGGCTTCCCGTTGCAAGACAGAAACATACACAGAGAAATGCCCCTGGCATCAGTAAATCTATATTACTTTGTGCTGCTCTTATGTTTCTGTATACTGAAATAAAAGTCAGCATTTCAGTTGGAAACAGATTTTACGGTGTCCTGAAATATTTCAGTTTTTTAAAATAGGGATCTGAGCTATAGTAGCAGTTTTGGTACTGTTGTAATAAAATAAGTTATCCCTTCAGTGGGGAAATCACATAGAAGAAGCAGAGTGTTGTCTAGAAGTCCAATAGCTGAGGGAACATAAAACTTTTTTTCTTGAAGGAGGCATGATCACCTCCCTCTCCCACCTTTAAACATCCATTTTAACTTAGGTGATTTGCATTCATACCCATTTTACCCATAATAATTTCTTCTGCAGCAAGTAAAGTAGTAAACTTCTTCATGGATTATGATTAACATTAGAGCCACCAACACACTTGATATACATTATGGGTTACTCCAGTGTTATGATTTTCAATACACCATGAATAGGGGTACAAAAGATTTACTTAAGCTGAAAAGTTTTTTTTTTCTGCAGTAACTATATTACAGTAGAGAAGCAGGAAGGGTAAACATAATTTAGAAAAATTCAGACATATTATACTGAATGTTCAAAGTCCTTATCTGACTTGCTAAATTTTAAAAATATGCAAAAATGGGAATATCTTCATTTAAAACACAATTTTCAAAGCTGTTGTAGTACGTTGTTCCAAGTAAGTGTGCTAAAATGGTATCTCTCTCTTTCAGACAAGAGCAGGTCAGTGTTCTGTATCAAAACATACACATAGCAGAACCAAGATTAATCCAGCCTTATGAACATGTCATTAAGAACTTCATCCGAGAGATCAAACTTCAAAGCACAGAGATGGAAACTTTGGCCATTGCGGTAAAAAGGTATATTGAGTAGTGTTTCTAGTTCAGTTATGCAGTTACTTTTTCTTCTGTTGTACTTTGTTGGGTTAAACTACTGGGAGTTAATGCCAAAATGTCCTGTGGAGTATTTCCATAAACTGAGTTCAGAGGTTAGCTTATATGCATACACATGTGCATAAGCACATATAGCAGCTTGCAAATGATTCCCTGTTCATATTTTAGATAAGTCCTGAACCAAATATTTGCAGGCTCTATTCTTATTTTTAATGTCTTAAAACGTTTTGACTCATTTTCCTTGCCCATAACTTTGAGCTTTAGCATATATGCTATTATACTTTCATTTTAGAAGCCATATTTTTGCTTCTTCAGCTTCAAGGTGTGTATTTACCTGCTGTTACTACTCGGCATTTGTAATCTCACATCATTACTGCCAAAACCATCTCGGTCTCTCAGGACAGAGATCTTGTATGTGTGGGTGATGAAAGTTGCTGTAGTTATCCTTTTGAAGTCTCTTCCTAGGATAATCAGAGGGGCCCTTTATCTCTGTAACTTAATTTTCAAAATGCAGATGTGATGTATTTCATACTAATCATCAGCTGTCAGATATTATTTAAAATCTAATTTGCCTGTATCTTCAAATTAATTTGTGATTTTGTTTCCCAACCATACCAGTTTCAAGGACTGGGCAATGTTAAAACTGTTTCCCTGTCTGCCTATCTAATTTGTTTCAGCTGAGCTAGGTAAATGTGTTTCACACAATGTTTCTGTCAAGCCAGAGGGCAATTATTAAGAGAGTATTTACTTTTAAATTTTAGAGCTCAGGATAAAGCAGCAGTTCAGCTCAGTGAGCTGGAGGAAGAGATGGAGCAACGAATACAGGCTGCAGAGCATAAAGTTAAAAAGGAAGTGAGTATTTTAAATTTACAAAATTTCATAATTACCAAGATCTCAGTGATGTTAAACAGGATTAATGGCCAGGTGTGTTTTTGAACCAGATGGGCTGATTCAAAGCCACCAAAGGCGGGGCCTGGATGAAAAGAACCTATCCATGAGATTGAAAATGTGTTTTCAAAATGGTTTCCCAAAGAGGAATGGCTGCTCAGATGTAATAAACCAAGACAAAAAAGTCTCTGTCTTTTGTAGGAATATTGTGGTGTCCTGGGTTTGAGTGAGTGGTGGGGTTTTTTGGTAGCAGGGGAGGGGGTTGTAGGGACGGCCCCCTGTGAGAAGCTTCTCGGAGCTTCCCCCGCTCCAAGTCAGCTCCACCTCTGCACCAAAACTGAGCCAATCAGCTGTGCCTCTGCGATAACGTATTTAAGAAGGGATGTGGTGACGTGCAGTGGGACTTGTGAGGAAGAGTTGCTGCAGCTGCGTGAACACCAAGGTCAGTGGAGGAACGGAGGAAGAAAGGAGGGGGGAGGTGTGCTGGAGCAGAGACCCCCCTGTATCCTGTGGTGAGACGGCAGGGCGGCCCCTCCCTGCCACCCATGAAGATCTGCGGTGGAGCAGACACTGATTTATGGCCTGTGGCTTCTGCCTGGTTCATCAAGGTCTCTGTGCCTGAAGAAGGCCGGGGTCTCATGGGAAAAGGTAGCCCCGCTGCTGTAATTCAGCTCTGGGAGGATTGCAGCATGCGGGGGAGTCCCACGCTGGAGCAGCTCAGGAAGTGCTGCAGCCGTGGGAGGGAATCCAGTCAGAGGAAGTTGGTGACCCATGACGGAGCAGTGTGGGGAATGCTGTGGCCCGTGAGACGGACTCACGCTGGAGAAAGTTTGTGGAGGACTGTCTCCCCCCACCGAAGATGGAAGAAGCAGCAGCGCTGACTGCACCCCCCATTCCCTGCCCCTGCGCCACTGGGGGAGGAGGTAGAGATATCGGGAGCAGAACTGAGCCTGGGAAGAAGGGAGGGGTGGGGGGAAGGTGTTCTCAAGATGTGGCAATGCTTCTCACTGTCCTACTCTGTTATGTGTTGTTAGTGTCTGTAATAAATGTATGTTCTTTTTTTCTTCCCCTAACGAGTCTGCCTTTTGCTCGTGCCCATAAAGGGTGATTTTTTTTCCCCATCCCAGTCCTATTTCAAATCCCAAGCCTGGCTCTCTGTCCCTTCTTATTGCTGGAAGAGCAGGGAGAGAGAGTGGCAACGTGGTGGTTGGCTGCCAACCAGGCTCAAACCACGACAGACGGCCTTGAATTTATTTCTGAGACCAGTAATGGAAAGAGGTTGGAGAAAATGACCTTTCACCATGAGAGATTGGAATCTAGTTCTTCTAGTAGATGAATTTATTTGGAAATTAATGCTTAGATCATTTGTTCCTAATCTGTGTACCTGCCTGGAGTGGTGATCTTTCTTTTCCCCATTCTCATCCTGCAACTATGTTTTAGAGAGTTGTAGACATAAGAGAGGGTAATTGCGATGACAGTGTGAGGGCCTGGACCTCCCATTGTCGATGGGAAATTCTGTTTCAGTGTGCTCAAGTTTTAGCCATTGTTTCAACTGGCTTGCAGTCTTGATGGAAAAGTACAAGAATCCTCTTTCCCTTACCCATTGATAGATACATTAGAGCCACATTTGATTGTGTAATTCTAAGCAGAAAGCAGTACAGGAAAACCACCCTACCTCTGTTGTCTTCATGTTGAGCTGTTACTAAATTCACATAAGATAAACTTAACTTTATAATGTGCATAAGAATAATGGTCTGTAAAAGTGTTCTAATGTGGACATAAGACATGCATTAATTAAAACATACATTATGGGAACCGTTATTGCTTTGTAGGGCACACAATATACAGAATGTCTGTATATTTGGTATGGGTTCTTTCACCAAAGTGTTTGCAGAATCAGAAGCAACAAAGTGTAGTCTGCCAACTTGCCAGTTTTAAATAGTTCATGGTAATTGATTTGTGCAGGTAAATGGTATTCGGATAGATTTGCTTCAAAAAAGAGCCTTTCCCTATACAAGAGGAAACGTTCCTACCAAACAAAAATTCAGTTTTTTTCCTAGAAACAAAATATAAGGACATAAAATTTTAAAGATACCACCCCAGCAAAAAAAGCGCATAATAGTATGTTTAACTAATGATAATGCAACTCTCACTAGAGATAAACTTTCAATTTCCAGAGAGCCTAAGCATTTATGTTTAGAAAACAAATACATTTGCTCTGGAAAATTTCTGTTATGCAAAAAGTGGTAAATCACTGAAAAAAGCTCAGAGTCTTTTTCACTAGTGTGAAAAGATGACTGGGATGTGTATATTCACTCAATCTGAGAGAACATCCACAGTTATGTACTAGCATTATGTAAAAACACATCTACTGGGTATTACCCACATGGAGTCTGTGTTTCTCATTCTAAAAAGTCCTCAAACTGTCACCGAGTTGCATGGATTTCGATTTCACTGTTCACACCTAGGTATAGATAGGAAAGATGGTCTGTAACTTGTTTTTCACAGCACTTTTTTTAAATTTTTGCTCCTAAAAGTCCCCATTAGCTCAGCGTTACAGACGCCACCTACTAAAACGCCCTGAGAGTAAATGCAAGATATTTACTTTATGGGATTGTACTAAGCTATTAATCTTAATGCCTGTACTCAAGGCTATTGTTTGGCAGGGTGATCTCACTCCTGCCACTGTGACACCTGCCTCTGCATGATAGTATCTGCAGGTTCAGCCTATCTTGTATTTAGTTTCTTGAAGGGAAGCAAATAGTTACCAAACAATACTTAGGAGTCCTAAACAGATGCCAACAGTAAGAGAGCCCAGTTTAAACTGATTACTTTGATTATCGTTTAAACACACGGATTATCATTTAACACACTGATGTCAGCATCACCTATCACAAAGCGCTGAATTCTGAGCAAAATCCGTGTCCGTCTTTTCTGTGTGAAAGCTTAGCCTGTGTCATTGGCACCATGTGTCACTGCCGCGTTCTGGTTTCTTGTGTGGTGAAACTGTGCACTGAAGTCCCTGGGGAGTGACTGGAGTGAGTTAAACACATACTTATCTATAGCATACAGAACCTACCATTCTCCTCATTGATATAACTGCCTTTCAAAAATCTCTCTGTTTTGATTAAAATAAAACTCAGGATAATGTACTTGGCTTGATACTCAGAACAAGTACCATACGAAACTAAAGATGCTGTTTCCATGAACATACATTTTTCTCAACATAGGGATGTAACATTCGAACACTTGCAAGTGAGAAAATTTAAAAGAAAACGAGGAATAAATAACTGGTGGTGGCACAGTAATTCTACTGCCAGCACAATGTATGCTGAACCACAGAAGACTGGTTTGAAAAAAAGAATATGTAATTCCCTGTTTTGTGTGATGGGTGTGAATGTATACATCTATATATGCAATAAATGCCTAAGTTTATGTACAAATAAAATTTGAACACTTTTTTGGTTTTTTTTAAGACAACGATAATGTTAAACACAGGAGACTATGACATGAATAACAAATACTGGATTGGCCCATATCTTTGCTTCCACTTTACCTTTTTATTTCTATGAATATTTCATAAGTGGACTGCAGTTACAGAATCAGAATCTGTGGATCTTAAGGAAGGGGCAGGTTGACGTAATGGAAAGACAAAATTACACATAATCTAAGGAGAAAGTGTGTGGTTTCCAAACTGATGAATGCATTTTTTTAATAAACATTTGAAACCTGACTCAACTTTTAATGAGATTAAAAATATTGCAGGAGAAACGAAAAGCTGAAGAAGCACTAAATGAGCTGAAGCACCAGTATGATACTGAAGTTGGGGATCTTCAAGGGACAATAAAAAAACTTAAAAAGGTAAGTGAGTTGAAGTCCTGGCAAGAGTTTTTGAAGTGTTTTAAGAGATGCTGACCTTATGAAGTGCTTTCCCAAAGATGGTTAATCATAATTCTAGCTAATGTAATGTGTATTAGTAAGTGACAACTGCAAGTAGGTCGTGTTGTCATTCTGTGCTGTTGTATTAATTCTGTGTAATTTACTGAAATAGTTAGGAAAGGGACTAACTGCTAGGCAAATTCTGTTGCTGAATCATTTTCTACATCCATCAAGTTGTTAACACTGCAGTTACCTCGTCTTGTATTTGATATATTAGAAATAGTCTAATGTATTGCGTCTAAGTATTTGTAATTTATAGATTTAGCTGAAATTTGCAACCCAAATATAGTAATTTACAGTAATATAGTGCCTTTTAGCAGGTAGTGCATTTCCCTCAAATGTTAATGATAGAGGTGGGTTTAAGCTGTAATTTTAAACTGAAATTGCTAGTGGAACTAGTTAGTACAAGTCTGAACTTAAATCTAACCTGATTTTTTCATTTGATACCTAAGTGTAGGGTAAAATGAAATCTCAGATATGAATATTGATTTGTGTTACTTTTTCATTTGGGTTTAATTTTGACTTTAGATTTTGCTGTCAGTTTGACCAGAATTATAGCAAACAATGAGGATATATTTTTTGTTTCTTCATACTGAAGTGCACTTAAAAGAGCATTGATAGAAATAGAAATTTCTCACAAGAAACTTGAGAGCTTGTAGTACAATTCTACACAGGTGAGGTAGTATATATATATATGTGTTTTTACATTAGTGAGGATATACCTGTTTATATCTTGTCTATAGCTGCATGTGGTGTCACTAGTTATGCATATTCAAAGTATTGATTTAAAAGATTGTCTAGAAAGCCAGTGATTCTTGGAGTAATGCTGCCTACTCACATAGTTGGGAAAACTCTGGGTTTTAAAAACTTTAATAGCTGTAAAATGTTTTAGGCGTTATTTAATATGATTTCCATGTCTTTTTATGTACTTTGAATCGAAACAATCAATAACATACATTTTATGTGTATTTTTTTTCTCCTTCTAGTTGGAAGAGCAATCCAAAAACGTAAATCCCAGGGAAGATGTGGTTGAATTGAAAAAAAGAATACATGATATGTTGCTGGTAGGAGATGATTATCATTAACGTGTTAATTTAGCCTCAATTTTAGCCTCTGCAATACAGAATTTTTTAAAATTTATTTTTATATTTATTCCTTTTTTTTTACATTTAATACTGGTAAGGTATGAAATAAACGTTTAAAGCTATTGATATGAGGATCTTGGAAAAAACCCTGTTCTGTATAAATGCATGCACATTCTAGGCATAACATTTAGAAGTGGCTTGAGATGATATAGTCCCTTTTTTGTGTAAATGAAAGAGACAAATAAAAATTTAGTGGTTCTTGCATGCTAATTCACTGCATTCTCTTTTGATTTAGAATTCTTTAATTTTCTTTCCCCCCTCATGCTCAGATTATCTAGTGTTTGATTTTTATTTAATTTTGATGGTTTTTATTTTACCATTATAATATGTCAACATCTTATGCAGTTGACTATAGCAGCTAACATCTAATATCTTCCCTTTTTTAAGGAAAATCAGAAACTTAAGAAAGATCTTTTAGAAGCACAGACAAATATAGCTTTTCTACAGAGTGAACTGGATAGCTTGAAGAGCGAGTATGCAGATCAGACTTTGAACACTGAGAGGTAAGGTACTTCTACATGATAATATTTTCACCAGGAGAAAAAAAATAATCTGTTGTGTGATGCAATTATTATGTAAGCAGTTGGTAACTGTTATTTTCTAAGTTTGCCATGAATGACAGGTACACATCTGACACCATGCAAAGTCTGCCATGACTACTGTTCACTTCTCTTGTCATGTTTCTGAAAGAGCAAGTTCTGGATTTGATGTCAGCTCTCACGATCTTGCAAAGAAGCCCATTGATTCTACTGGGACGTCAATTAGGAATAAAATTTATAGCATCAGGCAATTTTTTCCTCCATGAATTGCATTCAGACGAATATCTGTATGAATATTAGGGAGAATAGTTTTAGAAGGCTCCCACATGATTCTCAACCAGTTTTTCCTAATGTGAATGAAAGCTGCTTCTAGATACTAATTTAAAGGAATGTAAATGACAGTTTCATTATGTGGTTGTCTTCAGATAACACAAATGATATTTCAAAGGGAAAGGTAGAAGTCCGTGTGGTTATTTTGTAGATCTTTTATTTTTCATTCACAGTCTTGTTGACTGTGGCAGTGATCAGTGAAGTTACCAAATGATTTTGCTTTGCATAAAACTGCTTTTAACTTATTTCAGCAGAAATGTAAACATACAAAAACTGTATTCAGAAATATTTTGAAGTTATATCTTTCCCCCACTATGTATTACTCACTTATATATGTTGACTGTTGAGTTTTGTCCTCAGTCAAAAGCAGTTTTAGAAAAATAAAGAAGGTGTCCTGTAAAGTATAATTTCTTGTTGTCTTTTTTTTTTTTCTTTTTGCAGAGACCTAGAAATGATCCGAGAGTATAGTGAAGACAGAGATAATCTGGAAAGACAAATTGAAATGCTTCAGTAAGTTCTTAGTAATTTGGGTTTTTATTAACAAACTTTGTCCCAGCATATTTGGGGGTGTTTTTGTATGCAAAAGACTGGGATGAGGTTTGGGGAAAAAACAGTGAGTAAAAATACTGAAATGGCCTCAACTTTCATAGAAGGTACTGTGCTACTAACTCTACTGTGTTACCGGGCCACTAACTCTTCACTGTTTTTTCTTTCTTTTCTTAGCCTCACTGACTTTCATTTCTTTATGATAAGCTGAACAAGATTTGAGTCTATCCATGCTATTATAAAAATTATTACTTGGCTCATTTTTTCATTGACTTTGCTTCTCCAGTAACTCCCTGTCTTACCGTTATCTGGAATGTAGTGCAGTATTATACACAGGGAGTGGCACAGATTTTTGCTCTCAAGGAGGGCCACAGTTGAATAGATTTTTTTATATCTTTAGTTAATTTCTTTATCCTAAACATATACTTTCTTTCAAGCAGCTGAATCACATCTGTCCTTAGAGTCATGTCATCAGTACATAAAGGGTAGTCACTTTGTATTTCAGAAATGACTGTACCAGTTTACTACCCTGTAGCTGTTTTTTTTTTTAGTCATTCCTACAGTGTCTTTTTTCCTCCTCATCTTACCATGCTACAGAAATGAAACAGGGTTTCCTAGGCTGCAACTGGACGATAAAGTTCACAGTGCCTCATTCACATACAATAATTTTTTTGAGTATATAACAACACATTTCTAGTTCCACATTACTTTTTAGCATTTATCTAAAGAAAAACAAAAGGTTTTTGTGATATGTAGTTTTTCAATTTTTCTTTGTGAAGTTACATAGTTTTTAATGTTTTCTTTACTCTTGCAAGTTAAACTATGTTTCCTTCTTAGATCAGCTAACAGAAAGCTACATGACAGTAATGATGGTTTAAGAAGTGCTCTTGAAAACAGTTTCAGCAAGTACAACAGATCATTGGTATGTATTTGTAATTTTGTTATGTTGTATTAGAAGGTTTAAGTATTAACAGACCAAATGCAAATTTGTTTGTGCTTCAGTGGGTACTCAGAAAATTAAGTTTTATTCAGTGGTCTCACTCTGGGAATAAACTTGTGTAGTTGAATTCTGATGGATTTTACTTATGTTTTGTGAAATAACGGAGTTTTGTTAGCGCACAACAACTTTCTGAGGTGCTTTGGAAAGGAGTGATTTTTTTAATATGCTATAGCCACATGGATTTGATGAGGTGAATAAATCAGCACTTTCTCTTGCACTAAAAGAAATATGCTTGTATTGTTTATATGGGAGTGCCCTACCACTGAAAACCTACTTTTTAAAGGTCTTAACCTAATTTGAACTTTTATCCAGGCAAGTTACTGGGAAAAGGAATAGCAGGGACTGCTGATAATAGGGACCTCAGTCAGACCCTTTTGGGCTATCACAACTGTACAGGGATCTGTTGTAACAGATATAACCCGGCATCCTCCAAACAAGAGAAATGAAGGCTTGAAAGTTATAAAAAAATCTACTCTACGCTGCCATTTGCAATATTGGGAAAACTGTTAAACTCCAGACTTAATGACAAGGCAGGCTCTTACATCATCATGAAAGCAACTAACTGTTTTAGAAGAATGGGGCCAGAATAATCGGCCTACAGAGAGAATACTGGCCAGGAAGCAGGAAAATAGGAGTCATTGCCTGTTTCCAGCATACTGTACAAATGACCATGAGTGCCTTTTGCTGATACAGGCTACCAGATACAGACTGCAGGTGCATCCAGAGATACCATTTCCTTCTGCCATGACCTGAAACATAAGGGAGGCAGATTACAGAGAAGACAGAGGAAACTGTTCCCAGTGAATAAATGTGTAGGGGGACAGCATAATGTATAAAATACTCTGTCTTTGTCACGTGCTATCGGTTGAGATATCTCCTTTCTACTATCTCACTCAGGAACCAGGAGGTATCTTTGCTGAAACCAGCTCAACCAGTGATATTTCCCTGTTCCCTTTAGTAGTCATCATGCCATTTTTCTAAATATTACTTCTCAAAGTTTAGCATTTCAGAGGTGTAGTCAATGAAATCATCCTCTTGGAATTTCCACTGTCCTTTGTGCCTGAGTGTGGCTATCAGGTTCAGTATTAAGACAACAGTGAAGCCTAAATGCTGTATGTAATGGGCATTTTGAACATCCAGTCCTATATAAAGTGTGAGGTTTAATTAAAAATAAGTAGTTGAATATATGTGAAAATACACAGTAGTAATTTTGACGATGCATCCTTTTTTCATAACAAATCTAGATGCTTACACTGTGTTCACCAAACATATTATGCACTTGTTATGTATCTGTTGCAGCGGTTAGCAAACACCTCACCAGTAAGTACCATTTCTAGAAGCAGTCCTAAAGGTAATGGTGGACAGTCTCCTCTAAACCCACAGTATGACAGGTAAGCCAGATTTGCTTTTATTAAAAAGACTAGAGCATCACATTTGTCTTAGAAGAGCAAATATTGGCAAATAACAGAGAAAATAGTTCTGTCTGACTCTGAAGGAATGTGTGACCATAGCATATGGTCGAAAGTATACTGAAGTCAATAGCAATCTTTTCAATTACTTCAGAAAGCTCAGGAAAACTCTTTTCAGTGCAAATCATGAACTTGTGGAAAGTTCAGACAGCCACTTGTTTGGTCTTGGACTGTTTTGATTCCAGTTTCTCAATCTCCTCTCATTGACTCCAAGAAACTATGAAAATCTACTGGTGACCTCTCTTAGCTAGATTATTCAGTACTCTAGGAAATAAAATATTTTTGGTCATATCTTCAGCCTGTATGTCTGGTTTTCCTGTGTAGTAATTACTACAAAGGTATGTGGGCCTAATTCTTCAAAAGAATAAATGTCCTCATCTCTCACTGACATGCAAGAGTAGTGAATGTACTTGCATATTAACGGGGTAAGAGCCACAGAGAACATTGTTATCTAAATGTAAATATCAAATGGTCAGAGCTACTTTGGTTTTGTACTTACTGGATGCAGGTCATTGATCAAAGCTTCCTCAGATCATTGCAGAGACTCTCACTGAAGTTACTGGGCGTTGGATCCAACCTCAAGTGTTGTAGCAAAAATGCGTGTCCTTACTCAGCTGGTTGTTTTTGCTTATTTTTCTTTCAGTGGTACATCAAACTCTAGAGAGATCTCTGTTAGAGTTCTTAGTAGTCTGTGTTTTACATTTTGCCGGAGAGATTAGTATCTTTGTTAGGGATTAAGCTGGTTTCTTCTTCACACTAATAATATCCCCATTCATTCAGTAACGTTACTCTTACTCTGCTGTCTCCATGTGAGATTCGTTTGCTGGCTGTGAAGTTTTGCTTGTCACAAACTGATTCCTTCTGCTGAATGCAGATAAAACCAATTTGGTTCTGTTGGACCCTCTGCAAATTTTGAAAGGCATCCACTACTAAGTTGCATACGTTGAGAAATTTTCTGAAGGGATAACTAAAATGTCTCTGGAGGCTTAGTGATGTCCTTCTTTGAATATTTACTAGTACCTGCCACGTGGTGCGATCCTTGCATTCCCACAAAAGTGAGAACTGCAAGCTACTTTAGAAGAGAGTTTGTAGTAGGAATAAAACTTACTCTTAACAAGTGTGACTTAGTATTGAAGGACAGAAAGAGATGTGAATGTCCCAAAACCTGTTCGTTTTCAGTACTTTGTCTCCTGACATCCGATCAGCATTAAGAGATGCTGATGTGCATTCTAACATGTTTTAATCAACTTATATTAGTAGGTATACTTTTTCTTATTTTAGCTGTATCATACATCTTGGTCTAACTTGTTTTAACTACATATGAAATTCCCAGCATTGAATTCATGCTTCAGTGAGGTTCAAAATTGACTATGAAAGACATCTGATTTCAGGGAATGCCTGACAAGTTTAACTTTGTTATAGCATGCATCCTTCCTCTGTATTTCAGTGATTTGGCATAGGCTAGTAGATGCATGAATACAAATAGCATGGATGTGGTGATATTCCAGATCAAAGATCATGCTTATTCATGTGTTTGTTCATTACCCTGAGAGGATATAAATTAAATGGTTTGGGATGTTGTTATATGGGACAGCGATACTTCTGTCACCCCTTTTTGGCTACTTGCAGGGAGGAATTATAGTTGACTCACTAACAGCTTCACAATTTGTTGGTTCTCCCCGGCGCAGCACTGGGAGCTCCCAGCCCCTCTGGCAGCAGACTGTCTTTGCAAGGATTGATGCTGAGCTTGTCTGTTCTAACAATTTAGTGCTTCACATCCATTCCCAATAGCACAGAGGCAAATTGGTTCTTTTTTGTCTGCTGTGACTTGGAGACCTTTTTTAGCTTACTTTAATTTGTGCCTGTTGCTTTCTTGCTGCCGGAGCAGGATAATGATTGTAACCATAGTAAACTTAAAAAAAAAAATTGATTCTTTTAATATTTACTCTGTTAATATTTATTTTCTATAGTTTCATTTACATAAATAAAAACTAAATTGTTTCTTCTGTAAGCCATACTGTCATTGCTGCATCCATTTAAGTATTTTTATATAGTACAGCATCCAGAATGAAAAATAAAACAAAACAAAACAGACCTTTGAAGGAAGTGTGAGGGCAAAGAATGGGCTTTTGTGTAAAACCTTAAGTCTTGCGTAGCCTACCAAACTGTAGAAAAACACATTTCAGGGACTTCTTCCACCATTACTGATCTCCTGAGCTCTGTTACACCTTTTTCTGTATTTATAGCTGTTACTTATTGCCTCTGTGAGCAAATGCATTAATTTAAATTAGATGAAGTATTTCAAAGTAATTTTATTTGTTTTAGAATAGGCCAAAATTATCTAAACCATCAGCTGTCATTTTCTGCCTTTGATGTTTTCATAGTATGTGATTTTCTGAATTACTTCAATATTTTTTTTCTGTGTATGAATAAATAAGCATTCTGAATGAGACTTGGGAAGTCATCATCAATAACAATGATTATATAATTTAATTTGAGCATCCTCAGAGATATGATTGAAAAGGCATTATTTAGAAAGGCAAAATAGGCATTGACATATGTCTTAAACTGTACAGCTGCTATTTCTAAGTATTGACTATTCCAGAATGCCTCAGATTTTGTTGGGGAATACAATTGTGGATTTTTTTTTTTCCCAATATTTTCTTATTAGATCATCTCATTCTTCTTGTGTGGATGAAGATTATGATTCTTTAGCCCTTTGTGATCCTATGCAAAGGATAAACTGTGAAGTTGACAGCTTACCTGAGAGCTGTTTTGACAGTGGCTTGTCTACCCTGAGAGATTCAAATGAGTATGATTCAGAAGTGGAATATAGGCATCAAAGGATTTTTCAAAGGTCACAGTGTATGCAAGAAAGCTTTGGTGGTGATGCTTCTGATACAGATGTAAGTGCCAGACTTACTCCTTCTCTGAGAAAGACCTTTGGTTGGAGACAAAATTAGCTTCCTGTTTTTAAAATGAAATGGATCATTGCCCATAGGTCAGTTAAAACTAAGTATTTGAGTTACATGCATTTAAATAAGGTTAGTGACAGTTTTTTCCAGAATTCAGAAACAGTTACTCCTATTTTAAATAAAATGCTTGTTTTGACATTTTTGATAGATCTATGAAGTAAAAACTTCATTTTTGTAGTACACGTGGTTTTTGAAGGTTGTTAAACAGCATGCAGACAGAAGCCCATTTTCTAATGATTAAAAAGTAGATACTATAGAAATAAAATAGGTTTCTGTTTAATTTCTCTTACTATCCTGTGGCAGTGAATGAAAATATCATATATATGAGAAAAAGAATGCGTTTTGTGCATAAATGGATTTACACAATAAGTCTTGGAGAATTTAGAAATGGTGGTGTTGTGTCCATTTTATTGTTAGTAAAATGGAGAGCTTTAGTGATGACTACATAGCAAGGCTAGTATCAAGCACAGCAAAACTCAGGCTTTTTTAGAGCAGATCCTTTACTGTGCATTTAATAGGGACATCTAGTCTGCAGTTGAAAATGCTATGAAGGGTGCTGATTATAGCTGTGCTGTATTTAATTTAGCTTGAGTAGTGATAGCGTAGTGATGTCTTGTAGGGAAATTCTTAATTTCTGTAAAATAAGCTTTGAATTAAAGTATCTGTTTATTGTAATTATTTTTTAAGCTGAAATTTTCCATTTGGAAATTAATTTGCCCTATCTAGAAACCGTACTGAAAGCATGTATGCCAAACAGCAAACTTGTTTAAGGACCAAATGTAGGCTATAGTAAACAACAAATGTGAATAAAAACAGAATAATCACAGTATTTTGACTTGAATTGCACAGCTTTATTTGGTCATTTACCTCTGTTTAATCCAAACTGTTGAAGGAAATGTTTTAATCAGTCTTAGCTGTGTCTTTCCAAAAAGCATGCTTTCTTCTTCACTGGAGCTAACACATGAGCTTGTACTTTCAGGTTCCAGAGATCAGGGACGAAGAAGCATACAGTCCAGGTAGCAGCAGTACAATATTAGACTGGAAGCCCTCACGACCAGTAAGTCGAAGCAGCTCAATTGTTTCAGCAAGGAAACACATATCTGCTCTCACTCCTCAGGTAAACAGTTCTTTGGAGAAAAAAAAAAAAAACAAAAAAACATGTGTTTGATATAGAGAATATTTTTTATGAGTTGAAATAGAGGGGTTCTTTTTATTTTCAGCCAGATGCAACTGAATGTACTCTGAAGTACCCCTATTCAGAGAAGGCTTACAAGATTGTTCTTGCTGGAGATGCAGCAGTGGGAAAATCCAGTTTCCTTACAAGACTTTGCAAGAATGAATTTCGAGGCAATACCAGTGCAACCCTGGGTATAATAGTTGTTCTTAAAATACTGAAGTGAATTTCATTGCTATTCTACAGAAGTGGGTGAAAAGATTACCCTCTGTGATTGCTTGCCAGGGTTTCCTAAATATACACACGCAGTTTCTTAGGCTGTGAGATCGAATGGAGTACTAGACCTTAGAAGTGCCTAACTGCCATTTGGAGTGGATAATAGTGTACTGCTCTAATATAGTTTCTCTTTGCAAATCACAAAGCTTGTTCCTGAACAACACAAAACACCAGGAAAGGGAGTTTCAGTGTAATGAACTTAGTATATGTGTATGGTCCTTTTTGAATTTTTCATTGCTTTCTTGTCTTCACAGCTCTTTCCTCTTTCCTTAGTATTTCATACTATCCTTTGATGTTTTTCATACTATTTTTTGTCTCCATTTTTTCAAAGTGTTATTGAAGATTTGGTTTAAATGCAGCTGGAGGGATTTCTGGTTGACTTGTGTATATTATGGTAACTGTCAGTTAACAAACTTCTCTTACGGATTCCAAAGACTGAATTTTTGTCTTCCAATCAAATCATAGTTATATATTTGTTTTATTGTTTCTGTGTCAGGATTTCTGTTCTGATTTATCTTATTCCTCCTTGGCATTTGAAGTAAAGTCTATTTTATAAAACATTTTCTCTTCTTCCATAAAACTCTTTAGCAAAATAAAGCAGAGAGAGATCTTCTTGTTTGCTGGACATAATGCCAAATTTGAATCAATGCTTCTTGGAGAACGTGTGGGTGAAATATTTTTTTAAGTGTTTTTTTAAAGACAAATAAGTTCAGGGTATTATTGCCATTCAAGGCTATGTGTATGACTGAAAACTCATAATCTATTAAAACAGATGAATTTTGAAATAACTGCTGTATATGGCATATACCTTTTACTTTTCTGTGGGTTTTTTAAGGTTATCGATTTTTTTTTTTTTTAATGAGACTATACACATTGTTCTTTTCAGGTGTAGATTTTCAAATGAAAAGACTAATTGTTGATGGAGAACCTACAGTGCTACAACTGTGGGACACAGCTGGGCAGGAGAGGTTAGTGATTCTTTGCTTTTAGGTAATTTCAATTGTTTTGTTTCTAAAAGACGTTTGCTTTTTTTCATCTATGTGAAAAAAATTCCACTAAATATTATATGGCCCTATAGTAAATCAGTATAGCCATATGTAAATATCACCCTAAGACAGGTGGAATGTTTATTTGTTAACTTTGCTGATGCCTGGGGTAATCTTTTCTCTCTGCAAAGAGAAATAGTTGAGGTTCATGACAACATTAATTAATGAAATCCGTGTGTCCATCTCTTGCAATACAAAAAGATCGAGTAGATGTATGGTGTTTCTTCCATTTTTAGTATGTAGCTTTCTTTGTCCATACAAAGGTCTGTGTTTATGAGTGGGCTTTATCTTAGAGATTCCCTTCCCTTCACCCTTCTTTCCCCCTATTTCCTTGAAAGTCTTGATCCTGATTTGCGTTATATTTAGTGTATGAAAACTTTCTCCCAAAGAATTTTGAAAAAGACTTGTGGCAAAATTGTACAGATTTCTGAATGTATGTCCAAGGTTCTTCAAATTATTGTGTAAAGTTTCCTCAAAATCCTATGACATCCTTACTCAAGAGCCATTACTTCTTTACTGACAGCTTTTGGGACTTATTAAGAGGTTAATTTAACACCTTGGAAGTCAGTTTAATCTGTTCTTTGACCGAGATTTGTATTGGGCTGTATGTGTTTACTTTTGCCTGAATGAGTGACTATGTGAAGTAGGTAGTCAGAGGCCCAATCATTCTCCTCCCATATAACCAATTTGTGAAGTATTTTAATATATAATGTAAGTACCTAGTTGCTCTACTTGGTTGCTAAGTACACTGTGTTTTGTTAATGGCGAAGTTGACTGTAACTGATGAATTAAATCCTGGAATAATTTTATTGACTTTGTATTTTTTCAAATGTAGCAGAGCAGCCCGTTCAATTTATGAAGTTACATGTAAGTGAAAAAGCCTTGCCACCTAATCAAATCCAGTGCAATGCAGATTATTTGTAATAGATACACTGTAGATTGTTTTATACAAAAAATGCTGATTGCTGTTTAGGACAGAATCCTGTGGATCCTTATCGAGCACTTGTAGACTTGCATCAGCAGTTTTCAAGAATTATTTATGAAGGAAGCTATGAGAACTCATCTTGTAAGTGGAGAGAATCTCACCTCAGTAGTGCAATAAAGTAATGATGTTTTTTAATGGTGTTAAATTGAATTATTTTTTGTTAATGTGGTCTTATGCAAATCTTTTTCATTTTTTCTGAAAGATTCCGAAGTATTGCTAAATCGTACTTCAGAAGAGCAGATGGTGTCCTACTGCTGTATGACGTAACGTGTGAAAAAAGCTTTCTTAATGTGCGGGAATGGGTGGATATGATCGAAGTAAGACCCCTAAGTAGATACAACTTAAAAGCTATGTTTCACTGCATTGTTAACCTTATTATTTATAACATTTGAATATCTGTATATTGGAATTAGCCAGACTGCAGTCTCTCATAGAAATAATAGCTACATGGAAGTCCTAAATGTATCCTGATGTGTTCAGTTAATGTTAAAGCTGATACATCTTTTTATATGAAAGGTACCATGTAATCACACCTTTTTCCTTTCACTTCCTTTTGAAATGAATTTGAGACCCCATTTCAGATACCTTCTTGTGGATGGCTTGAGTAGTCCTTGGACATTTCTTTTAATCATAGTATAAGAGTTGGTCACTTTTCCCAAAGTAATTTTGTCATATAGCATTTGGATACAGGAACCATTTTCATTAGATTAACTTAAGGTTTGAAATTCCATGTTGGGGAAACAGGGTTTATGGGAATGAAAGCACATCTTTGCAGACTGATGTTTAAGCTGGCTGCTTAAATACTGATTAGCTCATGAAAATTTCTCAGCATGACTTTCATAATTTGTTATTTTTTGTGATAGTGCACAAGACTACTTTGTGTGGGAAGGAAATCAGTATGACATCATGATGCTAGTTACTTTTTTTGTATTCTGAGTGTTCTAGCAATAAGGAAATAAAATCCTCTTTCCAGGATGCAACTTATGAGAATATTCCAATTATGATGGTGGGAAACAAAGCAGATCTCCGTCAAGCTGTTACAGAACAAGGGCAAAAATGTGTGCCTATAAACTATGGAGAAAAGCTGGCAATGGTAAGGTCCTAGTCTATGTCATTAGTATAAAATGGTCTTAAGAACTTTAATCTGAAAACCATGTGAGAAACTAGTAAACAAAAGTAATTTTCTGGTCATTGGTGGCTAGCAGGTCACAGAGGGCATTCTCCCCCTCTGCTCTGCTCTTGTGAGATCCCACCTGGAGTACGGTGTCCAGCTCTGGGGGCCCCAACATAAGAAGGACATGGACCTGCTTAAGCAGGTCCAGAGGAGGCCATGATGATGATCAGGGGGCTGGAGAGCCTCCTGTATGAGGACAGTCTGAAAAAGTTGGGGTTGTTCAGCCTGGAGAAGAGAAGGCTCCGAGGAGACCTTATAGTGGCCTTCCAGTACTTAAAGGGGGCTGCAGGAAAGATGGGGAGGGCCTTTTTAGAAGGGCATGTAGTGATAGGACAAGGGATAGTGGTGTTAAACTGAAAGAGGGTAGATTTAGGTTAGATATTGGGAAGAAAATCCTTCCTGTGTGGATATGGTGAGACCCTGGCACAGGTTGCTTAGAAAAGCTGTGGCTGCCCCCTCCCTGGAAGGGTCCAAGGCCAGGTTGGATGGGGCCTTGAGCAACCTGGGCTGGGGGAAGGTGTCCCTGCCCATGGCAGGGGAGGTTGAAAGTAAATGAGCATTAAGGTTCCTTTCAACCCAAACCATTCTATGATTTGTTCAAATCTAGTAATTAGGATTTATGGATACTTTTCATGAAAACTGTTCTCCTTTGATGGTGTTTTGTGGGCTAATCACATCTTGGTGTCCACTGAGCTGAACTTCATTATTGGCTAGGATAGTCTTCTCAGTCTTTATGGTGAAAAAGTGGTTGGACTAGAAGACTGAGTTTTTCTGCTGCCAAAGAGAAATTGCCAGTGCAAATATGAAGCACACTAGTGAGTGTATGAGGCTTTTCGCCTGGCTTGTGTCTGTCCAGCTTCTGAGTGGAGTATTTTCATCTTCAAGAGACTATCCTGTATTTCTGCCATGTCTGCAGAAAGAAAAAAGGAACTCTGCTATAAATAGAAGTGAGGACAAGTTTTTTGCATGTATTTATATGGGGGATAAGGGGTGCACATATTCCATATCTTGCAGAAAAAAATGTAGAATCTTTAGAGTCTTGAGTTGCTGAATGCTTGCACAAATGATTGATTATACTGGGGCAGATACTGTTACTAATGCAATGATATTTCTGGTTAACTTAGGATACCAAATGCTGTAGTTTATGAGTACCTAATAAGCTGGATTCAGTAACCTGTCCTAGCAACTCTGTTCCTATTTTGCAATCTTGTGGACAAGAAGATTGAGTTTGGACATTAGGCCTATGATGTGTTTTTTTTATTCAGTTTGGTAATTCAGAATATACTGAATATAAATAAGACACAATTAAAAAGCAGTTACTGTTCGTTTTACAGTACTAAAGTGAATATATTGGAGAATGAAGAGTACCAGAAGAAATCGTGTACATTTAAATGTGTGTCATCTTTCTTTGTGTTATTGAGGAAACCATTTGTAATTGAATATACATATTCACATGGGAACCATTTCAAAGTAGTTGATTTAACATTTTATTTTTATTCACAGACTTATAATGCGCTATTCTGTGAAACAAGTGCTAAAGATGGATCTAATATTGTAGAAGCAGTTCTTCATCTTGCTCGGTATGTTTCTATTTTTGAATAAACACATCTGAGTATATTTTATAAAAAGGACATTGTATATGAATATACATACAAAGACACACTTAAAATTGTACTAACATCAAATTCAAAAAACAGAACTGAAATAAGAATACCATGTTAAACACAACAGGATTTATTCCTGGTTTAATCAACTAACATTTTTGCTTGCAAATGTTACAAAGTTGTCCATATAATTAATATATAAATTAGAGCTCAGTTATGGAGCTCACAATTTTAAAACCTGTTTGGTGAATGAATTAAATTTTTTAATGGTACATAGATTTCTTAATTCTTTCTTAATTTGATTTCAAATGCGTATAGTTCTATGTATAATTAATTCTTAATTCTTTCACATTTATTAATATATATTTAGTTTTATTACTGGCCATTCTAATCCTACCTGTTTCCTTTGATGTCCCTTTCTCTAAATTATGATTTATGAAATTCTGATTATATCCATTTAGCAATCTCTTATTTCTGTGATAATATGCGAGCCAAACTTTACACTTCTACTACCTTTCCAAACCATTCTTGGTTACAATATAATTTTGAAGGGCTGGTACTCAGCTTCTGATTTTTCAGTTTAATACATGGTGCTCAAGGCCAGAATTACAAACCATATTCATGTGAACTTTGCAGCAGCCTAATGCAATAATCAAGCTCTTTGATGTTTGGTCAGTATTTGATTATTCATTGTTAAAATATTATTGATTAACATGATTTGAATACAGAATACAGGCTTTCTTGAGAGGATCATTGCTTCTCCATATGGGACTCCAAGAACACTTGTATTTCTAGGAAAATGCATCTGTCAGATGCAGCAAGTACATAGGCATTTATTTGTCTATTGGTGTCAATGTGAAGTTAATTGCTGATTTGTGAAATGATTCATTTGAAGAACCTGACCATGAATGCAGCAGTGGGTTATGAAATCAGAGAACATACATAGCACAGTTATATAATATTAATCACAGTTGGAAAATTATCTCAGATATTTAAAGGTGATAACTTTAACTATTTCAAGGATTAAAAAAATGTTTTGGCGTTTAGAGACTCTCTTTTCATAATAATAATTAAAAAAGTATTTCTCTTCACCAGGTTCATTGATCCTCAAAGGGTCTGGGCATTACCCAGAAACTTGGTATAGAGTGGGTGGCTGTGCTTTCTTTACTTAAGTCTTAGTAATTAGTATTTTTTGAAACACACATTTCATTTTGAAATAAAAATTTCTAACATTTCATTACCATTATGTTGAATAATACAGTGTTCTGAGAGGAACTTCATCCATTTATTCTGCTAACATGAGGAGGATTCCATTATATTGTTTTTATATATACAGATAAAAATATATATAGAAATACATATAAAATTAGATTATCTAGAAATATATATATTTAAAAATACATGGTTTGTATATATAAATAAGCAAGAAATTTTAGAGCTGCCTTGACATTCTAGGGGACCCATAGTAAGAATACATAGTAATAATCTCTCCTACATACACAACTTTTAAGTCTGCATTTGTAATAAAACATCCAACAATGTGTGTTTTTCCTCTGAGGGTAAATTTATACTTGAAATTGCAGTTACTTAGTTTTGTACCTTCAGCTATGGACATATTCTGTTTCTATAGTAATATACTGAAACAAACAAAGAAAAACGATCAAAAGGAAAGGGACGATAGTACCTTGTGGAGTTATTACATATCAGAAATTATTATATTTCTAACACTAACTATGATTTGTATAGAAATATTGATATGATTCCCAAATTGGAAACTTATGAGACAGGTTGATTCTGCACAGGAAGAAACATAATTTTAACCATGCAATAGATGATGGTGACCTCTGTAAAATATACTGGGAGAAATGGAATAGTGAACATGAATAGAAATATATTAATTGAGAGCATTTTTATTTTTTTTATTTATAGCGAAGTGCGAAAACGAAGTGATAATCAAGATGATACGAGGTCAGTAACAAGCCTGACTGGGACACCTGTCAAAAAATCCACAATCACAAAAAACTGTTGCAATGTTTAAGTGATAGGTGCTTTTCCTGATCTAAATAACTTGTATACTTTTTTTTTAAAAAAAAGAAGGATTTCAATAATGTATTCTTTTAATTGTAAATTTATACATTTGTGTATTTAGAAATTGCCCATCATGTTAAAAATCCAGACTGCTTTCTACTCATTTAAATTTGTTCACTTGCTTTGCACCATAGGCTCTTGTTTCACTTAAGTAATATAAGCCAACAAAGTGAACTCAGAATCAATGATACATCAGTCACTGAATATAATATTGTGATATATTTTCTCTTTTTTACCTGCTTGATTCTTTATGGGCTCAATATTTCTTACATACAGAATGTGATAATATCATATATCACTCATAGGAAAAGAAACAATTACAACTTCAATTAATTGAATCTCTTTTTGCTTATGTCTGCTTATCTAGTTTTTTGGAGGCCTTAAGTTATATCTTGATGAAACATTTCCCAAGAAAAACCCAAACCCTTAAAAGGTTGTCTAGATCCTGGTAAACCCTAAGTTCAGGGCATGAAGCAGAATGGTCTCTGCTGGGACAGTGGCAGGTGCATGGGATTCTGGTGTAATTTCACAAAAGTTGATGAATTCAAATTTATTCAATTTTGGGAGTTTGGGTTTGATTCAGAACTGAGAGGTAGACTTTAAATCTGATCCTACATGTCAGAAGTGAAAGGAACATTTGAATGGACAATTACCATTCAAAATTCCAGAGATACTATAATACCTGTGATATGTAGGATTACTGAGATGAATTAATGATCCAATACCTGCCTGTTTATTTAGACTAGATCATTATTAATATTACAGAGATATGGGTTGTGATTTTTCCTTTGTTTTTCACATCTTCCACTCAGACACTGACCGAGGGATTGTAATAGTACAGAGGAGTCTGTTTTAATGCATATTCTGTATGCATTTTTTAAGTTTTAAACCTGCAGGTGAAAGAATTGCTACACAAGCACAAGCATCTGTATAAACTGTTTATTGAAAGTAGTCCCTGAAATGAACAGCAACCACTTACCTTAATGAGAATTCCTTTGCCTGATTGTAGGAAAATTCTGAGAAACTCACCAGTGAGTGGTAGCTTTAGGAGTCAGCATCTATAAAACCTGAGTTACTATTACTTATAATAGTTCCCAACAGTCCGATTGTGCAGTAAAAATTGTAGGTATTTCTACAGCTAACAATCATGATCCAATTCTACTCAGCTTTCACAAATTTTAATTGGAATGGGATAAGGCTCTTTCGGAGCCAGCAAACCATTTAAGTCTTTTCTGTGTGTATTATTAAAGTGTCTCTAGGCTGAAACCATAGCTCAGTAAATCAACCTTGGATAAAGTTTTAGGGACTGACTGGAAACCCATATGACTAGCAGCTGTTACTGCATTTTATCAGTACTATATTTGAACACTGTATAGCCTGTGCTGTGTTAGCAGTTTTATAAAATCTGGAGTTCTCAGAAACAGGATGTTTAATCACTAAAAAAAAAAAAAGCAAAAACCAAAAAAACAATTTTAAAGTTGGAAGAGCAGTATTTTTAGGCATCCTTTCAAACCTCTAGATCAGAGCAGTTAATCCTCAGGTGCCTATCTGGAAGCTTGTTCTTAAGACCACTGTATTGTAGTTCAGCCTTAGATGAGAAAACATATTTGGTGTCATTTTTGAAGTATTAAGGCAATCTTCGCACACTATTCCATGCAGCAGACTTCAGGGTTATAACATCTTCCCACCTATCAGTACAAGGTGTTTCACTGTAGTCCTGAGACTTATCTGGAGCAGGTGGTGGAGAAGGAAGTAATTGAAGGTGTACCAGGAGTATGCCTGGTCACTTATGTCTTTTTTACTATTAATCCTGTATTATTTAAACAAGAAAATTACAGCTGTAACTAGCTTCTCTGAGGAGAAAACCACACTTAACTGAGCGCATTGATGTGGGCCTCCTCTGTGTTCTTTGTGTGTAAGGGCGTCTCTCTCTCTCCAAAGGAGTGAAGTAGAAATAACAGTAGCGTGGGCTGTACTTGCAGATAGTTATTCCTGCAGCAGTGGGGAGGAGAGATGATGATGATCTGGTGCTTGGTTTCTGAAGTGTAAGCTTAAAACATGTAGACATTTGCATTTTCTCAGTATAAGAAGGTCATGATAATCAGCTGTTACTTCTGTTCCAAAATATTGCTCCTTCAGTGTTACTGACTTCTGTTAACTTGTAGGGTTTAGACTGGGGCACAGTGTTCTGTGTGTGTCTCCTGAACCACAGAGTTTGACCAGCTCTGTGGTCTTGGCCTGCAGTAAATGAGGTGAAATGTGTTTGCCTAAACCTTGTTGACACACCTGCATGAGCAAAAGATTTTGGTTAGATACAGAGAATCACATAAAGTTGTTTGCAAGAAGGATTTCTGGAAGTGGTTTTGTCCAACCTCCCAAGCATCCAAGTGGACATGGACTGTTGCCAGCCCAAGATCAGGTTAGCTGTTGGTTTGGCGAGTCAGGCTGTGAAAATCCCCAAAGACAGAGATACCATCACCATTCTGGGCAACCTGTTCCCTTGCTTGCACTCCCTGTTGTTGTTTGAGCCTGGCTGGCAGCTAAATGCCACGCTCACCCACCCTCCCCCCACTTGGGAATGGGGAGGGAATCGGAGGGGCAAAGGGAGACTCGTGGGTTGAGATAAAAACAGTTTAATAGCAGTGACAGAACAATATGGTGACAGCAATATTAGCAGGTAATGTACAATACAGCTGCTCACCACCTGCCAACCAACACCCGCCTGCTCCTGGCCAGCGATCCCCAACACAAAGGCCCCACAGCCACACTCCCAGAAGTGGCAGCCCCCCCAGCCCACTCCTGCCTTTATATAGTGAGCACAAGGTCACGTGACATGGACTATTGGCCAATCGGGGCCCAGGCCTCCAGCTGTGCTCCCCCCGCCCCCGCACACAGGTGAGGGCACTGGGACCTGGGGAGCCCCTGGGGTCTCAGGGGGCTGCAGCACTCCTCCCGCTGCCAGACCAACGGGAACTCTAGTCCAGCCCCAACCAGGACACTCCCCTTCTAAATAAAAATTTCTCTCCATGTCCAACCTCAGTTTCCCAAGTGGCTATAAATTGGTAGGCATTTTCCCTCGTATCATCCCCAGCTACCAAGAAGAGTTTGGCTGCACTCTTGGTGACTCCCCTTTCAGTATCTGTAGGCTATTAGATCTCCCTTGACCTTCTCTTCACTGGTATAATAACATTGTGAGGTATATCTTGCAAACACGGTTTCCACATCCTGGAGTTAGCAGCCTGTGTGCATGTGTAGTAATTGCTTTCATATCTAAGATTCTTACTGTACAGAGAGTGCCATGTGACTGTCCGTGTCTGCAGGGAGCCTGGTTGAAGGATGTGAATTCAGGGAACTGACCTCACACCTGTTTTTGTCTCTGCAGGATTGGGCCATTGATGTTTCGGGTACTTTTTAAAATTTTATTTTAGTGACCAAAATCTCTTGTGTTATTTGGCCTAATTATATAAACTGAACTCCCTTTTTTAAGCTCTGTAATTTTTGTGTGTCATGTAAAGCAACTTCAATTTGAAACAGTGTTGTTTTGTAACTAAGATTCAGGGTTGTAAACTGTTAATAAAGTTTTACCTTGGAGTAGTTTTATGGTCAATGTCTAAACTGCTAAAAAAGCACTATCAAATGGGGATATAGCTGTAGCACAGTTGGAACTGGTTTTAGAAATCCTGTTATGATCAGCTCCATCAAGTCTGAATATTTACATAATACCATGTAGGATTCATGATAAAGCAAAAAAACTTGTAAAAATATTATTTAAATTTATAAAATAAAGCATTTATTTATACCTCAAAATAATGAATATGTAAAGCTTTGTTTTGTTTTTTTTTTTTTTTTTTTTTTTTTTGTTTTGTTTTGTTTTTTTTTTTTTCTTTGCAAGGTTATCTTGCCTTCTACCTAAAATGTAGTGGCAAACATCAGCTTTATGCTCTGATGTGGTTGTGCTATTGTACTTCGAATGTTTTTATGATTTTGTTTAGTATATAAGAACTATTCATTTAATCGCACAAAGTTATTTTTTTAGTTAGTGGATGTGTTCCCTTAATACATGTATTTATTTGAAAAGGAAAGGCCTTTCATGTTTTTCCTCATGATCTGTAAATAAAATATTTTTATTCATTTGACATGGAAGTATTATTTTATCTTGTATTGTTTTTGACCCTTATTAATTGTGGTGTAGTACACATTTCTGAGGCAATAATTTCTGTGAGACTGACAACGTTTTGAGCACATAAGTTCTTGTAACCACTCTGTGCCTGTTCAGAATACATTAGTGGCTTAAGACAAGCTGCAGGTTCTTTTAGTTCTTAGAAGTACAGTTAGGGCCTATCATGGTTTAAATACTTGTCTGTGTAATGATTTTTGTATCGACTACAAAATACTCTATTATTTAAAAAAAAATAAATTACAGTTTTAAATCTGTATAGCCTGTTGACATGCATTCCAAGGAAAATACCTACAAGCTGCTGCTGCAAGGAGCATCATGTAGATGTGCACCCATGCAGATCCCCAATTAAGCTAATAGGTTCTGTGCTAGTGCAGGCAATCTATTCAAACATACATCCTTTTAAAAAGGTTTTCTTTTTCCACTGATCCACTGCTGTACAACAATGCTAGATAACTTTTTAGGGAAAAATATTTCAGTGAAAGAACCCTAATTCATAAACCAAAGGGAGAGATGTATTCATACAATCAAGGCACTTTTTTGTATTACAAAGAAACCTACTTCCAAGATGTTTCTGACTGTATTAGGTAATTTAGAAAATGGACCATTATCACATGTGCAGTTCAAATGCCCTTTACCACTACCCCTGCCGGATTTGATATAGCATGTAATGCTATCCCTCTGAGCCTGTCCAGACTACTTAAGGATTGGAGAAGCTTTTTAACAGCACCAGTTATTTTAGTATTTTTCTCCCACTGCATCACTATCAGGCGTAAAACTTGTTGGTATCCTTAGGACTGGTAACACCCATCTTGTTTTGTGAGAAAATTCTTACAGTAAAAGAAAATTTGACTCAGATATGTGGAATGTAGATACAAATGTATTACTTTGTAAAAATAAGTCCTTTTTCTACGATTTCTGCTCTTTGAGTTATGGCTATAGATAGCTGGGTTTACAGGAAATTAGTAATTAGGTGGCTGAGTAACAAACCCAAGCTGTGAAGATTGGCCACCAAATCTAAAGTGAAGTATTTAAAATAGAAATGTATTTTCATACTAGAATGAGGAAGAAATTCACTGCCAA